TGGAGGGAGAGAGGCGGACCGGGAAGGCAGGGATGGGAGCAATAGGGAGGGAGGGATTGGACCAGAGGATAGTGATAGATGGGGGTCGGAGAGGCCAGGAAAGGGTCCTGAAGGTGGGCTGATAGGAAAATGATGAGGGGACGGGAAAGAGATAGCCAGAAAGGGTGGGAAGGTAGAAAGATAGGGTTGGGGGAAGAGATGCAGAAATAATTTGGAGGTGGGAGCTGAGAGAGAGATGAGGAAAATATCTTAGAAAAGGGGCTACAAGGGGGTGGTGGGGGGAATGAAAACATTGGGGTGAGAAGAGAGGCCAAGAAGATGGGGGTAAGAATGTGGTTGGGGGGGCTCAGAATGGTAGGGGGTTGAAAAAGAGAGGAAGATGGAGGGAGAGCCGAAGGGGCCAGATGGAGAGAGAGGGAGGCAGTGGGGGGGGATGGAGGGTCCAGATGGAGGGAAGAGAGGAGAGTGAGGGAATGGGTTGGGGGAGGAGAGACCAGGGCAGGGGGAGGTCCAAAATATCTATGTTTGTTGGGGGGTTGGGGGGAGGTGGGCAATACAAGTAACATTGAGTGATGGGAATGGGGGGGGCAGGTTAGGACCCTGCCCCAGAGGCTAACCCTCATTAAGGCCCTTGACCAGTGAAATATATGCCTGGGAGCTTATCTGCTTCTTTCACTTCATCACTTTTACCCCCTCCCCCACCTCTAATCCTTATTTCCATTACCCCTCCCTCCTCTGGTGTCCATCACCTATATCTTTCCCCCCATATGGTGTCCGTTCCTTATATGGGTCCCCCTTCTGTCTTTTCCCTGTATCAGTCCCCTCTGTGGGGTCCATTCTGTCTCCCTCCTTCTCTTCTATGTGGTAGCTCCCCTGTATCTCTACCACTTCTCCACCCCCTCCCCTTCTTGATTCCCTATTCTAGTTTCTCTGTTAGGTACACCTCATTTCCTCTGCCCCATGTCCAGTTGGACCCTTCTGGTATTTTCCTTGTTCCTAGGAACTTACAACATCATTTCTTCTTCCTTTTCTCTTCGCTCCATCCCTGCCATTTGTCCCCTAGCCCACCCTCTGTTCCCTACACCATTCCCCATTTCTTGTCACTAGTCTGTCCTACCCACATTCCCTTAATAGCCCAACTCTTATCACCCCTTCCATTTCTCTGGTTTCCTCTGCTTCCTGGAGTGTTGGACATCTGGGGTGCACACAGTTGTTGATGGCTTAAATAGGGCCTTCAAGGGGTCCCCATCTGAGCCCTGTGGGATTTCTCATCCTAGTAAATTGCCTTTTTCAGCGGTGTTCCTCTTTTTCTTGCATCTGCCTCCTAGAATCATCCTTATTTAAGTCTAGACGATATGTGTGTGTGTCCAGAGTTGCTCTTAAGCTAACTCCCCTGTGTCCTTCCTTGCTCCCAGGAGGAAGGTACCTACTCCTCCAAGTCTAATCTGCCTCCCTGTGGCTGCAGCTTAAACCAGCTTCTCCCATAATGAACATGTGCACTGACAGATTTCTCCTCTGGGGTTGCTCAGAGTCTGAGTGCTGGACATATTGCCTGCAAGTGCCCGCAATCTCGGAGCCTAGATACTGGTGATCTCCTACCTAGAGAGTACTACATATGGTACTGAGATAGTTAGTGAGAGTTTCAAAGTATTGAATGTCTAATTAACTAAATTTTCAGTGTTCATTTTTGACTCCAGTCTGCAGGTTGGCTAAATTTGAAGGACCTGCTTATAGACAGGAAGGGAATAGATCTTTCACTTGTCCTACATGGGGCATTCAGTTGCAATGAAACTCAAAGACATGGTACTTGTCCTGCATATGCCCATGTTTAATATTCTAGAAAGGTGACAGATTCTGCTTTGTCTTCCTCCACACACTCACTCCGATACCTTTAAGCCTAATTTTTATCATTTTGATGTCATCAATCTGACTTTTCTTCCACACCTACCTCCTTGTGACGGTATGTAACATCAGGGCTTAAAAGAGGGACAGTTTGCAGGGATAGGAGGCAAAAGAAGCCAGGTTGGGGAAGAGGGACTCGGGGAGGTGTCACTGAGCATGGGTGACCCTTAGTCTACTTCCTCTTCTGGAAGTTTTGTCCCAGCCCCAGATTTAAGTCTCTGAAGGCCCCCTCTATGTCACAGACTTGGATCTTTCATTCTTCCCTCCTTTCTTTCCTCCTCTGGCTCCTCACTGTGACTGGTGAGGTTCCTAACCTAAGGAGTTGGTGTCTATATCCTGTCCATGGAGACTAGATGGGGAGGGGGGCAGCACAGAATCATTGCTCTCCTGGCATGGAGTGGGGGAAGCAAGCAGTTCTGTCACTATTCATTCAAAAAAGGGCATATTTCCTACCTCCTCACTCCCTGGCTCCTCCACAGCCAGATGCTGACAGGATCCGTCCTCCCCCTACCACCAGAACTAGAACTTTCCCTCAAGGATGAGCAGGGTTGGGCTAGGGGAGGAGGGGGTAGGGGGTGGAGAAGAGGCAAGAGGGGAGGCCCTCTCCTGTCTCTGATTCTGTGAACAGGTAAGCTCCCTCAGTTCCTGTACTCCAGATGTTTA